GTACAAGGTACACAGCAAGGTGATTTGGTTATACAAATACACGCATATTATTTTTGAAATTGTTTTCCATCATAGGTTTATGTAAGATACTGACTAGTTTCCTGTGCTGTACAGTAAACCTTTGTTGCTTGTCGCATAGCATAACTTTTTAAATTAGAAATCTAGCATTCTATTCATACTAACTCAAACAGGTGGAATCAGAACGTCATAATTTTTAGTTAGGCAAAATTAATAACTATTCTAATATATATATATTATACATATGTATATGTATACAAAAGCTTTTCTTTTCATCTCTTTTCTTTAGTGCTTGTGGGTCTTTGGTATACATTTCTTACCAAGCTTCACTTGATAAAGCCTTGAGAAAACATCAAAAAAAGAAAAGAAGAGATGGAGTTATTGGAGAACATAAACTAAATGGAAGCACTGAATATGAGGTAGAAAAAGTGAACCAAACTAGATAAAAGTAAAAGATAATCATATAACAGTTGTTTTAAAACATGACTGCTCATTAGAGACATATCTGGAGCTCTGAAGGAAAAAAGCGGTATCTGAGCATTTGTATTTTTTAAAAAATTTCAAGATAATTCTGATACACATCTGGATTTTAAAAAGTGATTACAGGTTTTTCAGTTAGATCCTAGTTTTGGTGATATGACTTCCCTGGTGGCTCAGATGGCAAGCGTCTGCCTACAATGCAGAGACCTGGGTTCGATCCCTGGGTCAGGAAGACCCCCTGGAGAAGTAAGTGGCAACCCACTCCAGTATTCTCGCCTGGAGAATCCCATGGACGGAGGAACCTGGTGGGCTACATTTCCATGGGCTTGCAAAGAGTCAGAACCGACTGAGCGACTTCACTTTCACTTTGGTGATATAGTTGTATTATTTTTCTGTTGACCAATCATGATAAAATAGTATTAAGTGAGTAATAGTTACATAATCACAATAGTAAAAGATATTTATCAGTTTTCACAATCAATAGCCAGACCCCCCCAAAAAAGATAATTACAATTGCAAGCCATAATAGGAACATGATTAACTTAACAGTATAAAATAATTACCTACAGTTTGGGTGGGGTGATCAGGCAGAGTGATGTATGTGATAAGTGGAAGTGCATACATGTTTTCATTCACCCAGCCAGCCTCTATCTTCTGGTTGGTGCATTTAACCCATTTACATTTAAGGTGATTATGTACATTTAAAGTGGTTATCAATATGCATGGTCTTAGTTCTTAATTGTTTTGGGTTTATTTTCTGTAGATCTTTTCCTTCTCTTGTGTTTCCTGCCTAGAGAAGTTCCTTTAACATTTGTTGTAAAGCTAGTGGTGCTGGATTCTCTTAACTTTTGCTTGTCTGGAAAGCTTTTGATTTCTCCATCAAATATGGAGAGTCTTGCTGGGTAGAGGAGGTAGGTTCTTCCCTTTCATCACTTTAAATATATCACCCAGTTCCCTCTGGTTTGTAGAGTTTGTTGAGAAATCAACTTGATAGCCTGATGCGAATTCCCGTGTATGTTATTTGTCTTTTTTCCCTTGATGCTTTTAATATTTTATCTCTGTCTTTAATTTTTGTCAGTTTGAATACTCTCTGCCTTGGTGTGTTCGTTAGGTTTATCCTTTCTGGGACTCTGTGTGTTTTCTGGACTTGATTGACTATTTCCTTTCCAATATTAGGGAAGTTGTCAGCTGTTATCTCTTCTAATATTTTCTCAGGCCCTTTCTCCCTCTCATCTCCTTCTGGGACCTGTTTAATGCGAATGCTGGTGTGTTTAATGTTGTCCCAGAGGCCTCTTAGGCTGTCTTCGTTTCTTTTTATTCTTTTTTCTGTATTTTTCTATGGCAGTGATTTCCATCATTCTGTCCTCCAGGTCATTTATCCGTTCTTCTGACTCAGTTATTCTGCTATTGATTCCTTCTAGTGTATTATTCATCTGTTTGTTCTTTAGTTCTTGTAGGTCTTTGATAAACATTTCTTACATCTTCTCAATCTTTGCCTCTGTTCTTTTCCCAAAATCCTGGATCATCTTCACTATCATTATTCTGAATTATTTTTCTGGAAGATTGCCACTTCATTTAGTGGTTTTTCTGGGATTTTATCTTGCCCCTTCATCTGGGACATACCTTTCTGCTTTTTCATCGTGATTAACATTCTGTAATATGGTTTTTGTTTTAGCCATTGTGAGACTGTGCTTATTCTTGCTTCTTTTGTCTGCTGTCTGATTGATGAGGCTAAGAGGAAGGGACTGGCAGTGGGAAAAAGTAGGTCTTGCTCAATAAAGCTTTAATCCAGTTATCTGCTGATGGGAAAGGTTCCTTCCCTCCCTTGTAGTTGTTTGGCTTGTGGGTCAGTGGGTTCTGTTGTTGTTCAGTCGTTGTTGTCTGACTCTTTGTGACTCCATGGACTGCGGCACGCCAGGCTTCCCTGTCCTTCACCATCTCCCAGATCTTGTTCAGACTCATGTGCATTGAGTCGGTGATGCCATCCAACCATCTCATCCTCTGTCATCACCTTCGGCCTTCAATCTTTCCCAACATTCAGGGTCCAAGGAGTGGGCCCTTCTCATCAGGTGACCAAAATATTGGAGCTTCAGTTTCAGCATCAGTCCTTCCAGTGAATATTCAGGACTAATTTCCTTTAGGATTGACTGGTTTGATCTTCTTGCTGTCCAGAGGACTCTGAAGAGTCTTCTTCAGCACCACAGTTCCAGAGCATCAATTCTTTGACACTCAGCTTTCTTTATAGTCCAACTCTAGCTTTGACTAGACGGATCTTTGTTGGCAAAGTAATGTCTGTACTTTTTAATAGGCTATCTAGCTTTGTCATAGCTTTTCTTCCAAGGAGCAAGTGTCTTTTAATTTCATGGCTGCAGTCACTGTCTGCAGTGATTTTGGAGCCCAAGAAAATAGAGAAATAGTCTGTCACTGTTTCCATTGTTTCTCCATCTTTTTGCCATGAAGTGATGGGACTGGATGCCATGATCTTTGTTTTTTGAATGTTGAGTTTTAAGCCAGCTTTTTCACTCTCCTCTTTCATCTTCATCAGGAGGCTCTTTAATTCCTCTTTGCTTTCTGCCATAAGGGTGGTGTCATCTGCGTCTCTGAGGTTATTGATGTTTCTCCTAGCATTTCGTATGATGTACTCTGCATATAAGTTAAATAAGCATGGTGACAATATACAGCCTTGATGTACTCCTTTCCCAGTTTGGAACCAGTCCATTGTTCCGTGTCTGATTCTAACTGTTACTTCTTGATCTGGATACAGGTTTCTCAGGAGGCAGGTAAGGTGGTCTATTATTCCTATCTCTTTAGCTATAAAGAGGGTTTACACCAAGGGGGACCTTCCCATGCTCCTATCCCTGTGGTCAGCCCCTGCTGAGCCACACCTCCACAGGAGGCCCTCCTCCACTAGTAGTTAAGTTTTGGTTCAGTCTCCTGTGTGGTCACTGCTCCTCTCCTCTGGGTCTTGCTGTGTGCAAAATTCTGTTTGTGCCCTCCAAGACTGGAGTCTCTGTTTCCCCCAGTCCTCTGGAAGTCCTATAGTCAAATTGCACTGGCCCTCAGTGCCAGATTCCCTGGGGATTCTCCAGGTTGGGAATCCTGAAATGGGGCTCAGAACTTCTTTGGTATTATTGTTCTGCAGTCTGTGGGTCACACACCTGGTGGGTATGGGATTTGATTTTATTGTGATTGCGCCCCTCCTGCTGTGTTAGACCTAGCTTTTGTTTTGATGTTGGGATTGACTGATGGGTCAGTGGGTAAAGAACCTGCCTGCCAATGCAGCAGACACAGGAGATGCGGGTTTGATTCCTAGGTCAGGAAGATGCTCTAGTGTAGGACATGGCAGCCGACTCCAGTATCCTTGTCTGGAGAATCCCGTGGATTGAGTAGCCTGGTGGGGTACAGTCCAAAGGGTCACAGAATTGGTCTGGACTGAGTGACTTAACACTTTTCGCTCTTCACTTTTTGTTTGGATGTTACATTTTGAAGTTCACGTTTGCAATTAACAGAATAAATAGTGCTGTGTTCATACAGAATGCATAGTGGTCAATGCACAGTGTTACACCCTAAAGTCTTGTGGGTGATACAGGGGTGGTTTTGTTGACTGTAACTCTGCTCTTCAGCAAAAGTCTTGGTAAATAATAGCCTTCTGTTGTCGAGTTTATTTTATTTTGGTTTTTGTTCTTAGTTTTAACTGAAGTATAGTTGATTTACAGTGTCACTTTCTGCTGTACAGCAGTGTGATTATTGTACATATATATGCTTTCTTTTCTTAAAATTCTTCTCCATTATGGTTTATCATAGGACATTGAATTTAGTTCTTTGTGCTATACAGTAGGATCCTTGTTGTTGAATTTTATATTAATAAAGTTTTTTTTTTTTTAGCTTTTTACCCCTTTGTATATTTCTTTATGAGTAGGTATTAATGATATTTCTGTTATCTTGGGCTGTAGCTTTTTCTAAAGGTTGAGACTTAGTAGGAGGATTTGATGAGGACTTAAGGTGGTAATATTTTTGAATTTGGGTATAAATTTGATAATCTCTTCTTATCACTACCTTTGTGTTTTATGGGAGAAGTAGGAGGCCTTCCTGCTTCTGTTTTCATCACCGGACTCCTATGCCAGTACATAGATTAGATACTCATTTCATCCATCACCAAGTTCTTTCATCTCTGTTTTCAAAATAGATCTCAATGCAATCACTTCTGCCATTACTGCTGACTATCCCATCCTAAGCTGTTTTCATCTTTTGTTTGGACTGGTCTAATAGCCTTGTGCTTGGTCCTCTTACTTCCATTATTATCCTACCCCAATCAATTCTCCACACTACAGCCAAATGACCTTTAAAAAATATGAGTCACATCATGTTATTTATCTGAATTTAAAAATTACTCTGGTTTATAATGTGAAATAATTCACTATCTTACTGGTCTTAATTCTTGAACTAATTTTGACTTGAAAGTCACTGTGCTTCTTATCTTTTCCCAGGAGGAACAACACAGCATGCTGGGCTCTGGATTTAAAGCTGAGCGTTTACGAGTCAATTTGAGATTAGTCATAAACCGTCTTAAACTGTTGGAGAAAAAAAAAAGTGAGTAGTGTGTGTTTGCCTTCCATTTTTTTCCCCAGAATACATCGTTGATTCCTAGCACCCTGTTATTAGCTCTTTCAGGCTAGCAGTCTGAAGTCTTAGAGACCCTATATCCTCTAAGTTTTAGGTACATTTCTGCTGTCTTTTGTGACTAGTTAGACTGAATCACTTTGTAACAGGGAAAGGGACATACTCTTTCTATGGAATAGATAAAATGACTACACAAACACTGTTCTCACCTAGACAAGGCAGCAAATTCTAGAATAGATGAGACTAAGTTTGCTAAGGAAGGGTGAGCTAGGATATAGTAGAAACACCGACTTTTTTCTTTTGGGGTGGATGTCTGCCTGCAGGCCAGGGCCCATGTACTACTGCTGTGTGACTGGAGTGGGATTTGTGCTTTAGCGGAATTGGCCCAGAAAGCAAGGAAAGAGATTGCTGACTATCTGGCTGCTGGGAAGGATGAACGAGCTCGAATCCGAGTGGAGCACATCATTCGAGAAGACTACCTTGTGGAGGCCATGGAGATCCTGGAACTGTACTGTGACCTGCTGCTGGCTCGATTTGGCCTCATCCAGTCTATGAAGTAAGCTGTTTTGTCCTTTTTTTCCCTTCATTGGGGTATAGTTGATTTCGGAAGAAATTTCACATATTTAGTGTGTGTAGGTGTACAATTTGATGAATTTGGGCATAGGCATATATATACCTGTACACTTCATCATAGGTTAAAAAAGCAGTCGTCATCTCCAAAAATTTCCTTATATCCCTTTTTTTGATAAGAACACTTAACATAAGATCTGCCTTAAACAGTTTAAAATAATTTTTTTATAAAGTTTATTTTTGGCTGCCCTGGGTCTTTGTTGCTATGCATGGGCTTTGCCTAGTTGTGGCAAGTGAGGGCTGCTCTCTAGTTGCAGTGCTCCGGCTTCTCTTTGTGGTGGCTTCTCTTGTTGCAGGGCATGGCCTCTAGAGCCCATGTGCTTAGTAGCTGTGGCACACGGGCTTGGTTGCCGTGTGGCCTGTGAAATACTCCGGGGCCAGGGATCAAGCCTGTACCCCCTGCATTGGCAGGTAGATTCTCAACCACTGGGCCACCAGGGGAGTCAATTCTTAAACGTTTTTGAGCACTCAGTACAGTACTGTTTAACTGTAGGCACAGTGTTACTCAGTAGACCTCTAGATCTTTTTCATTTTGTAGAACTATGATGAAGTAAGGTATTTTGATTTGAAGATTAAATCAAATCACCTCTGGAATTTGAGAAAGGAGTGATACTGGCCTCTTCCTGTGTGTGGGGAGCTAGCACTCAGGGACTGTCACTTCCTATACCCAACGACATTTTTCCTACTATTCACTTGAAGGCCTGACCTCAGTGTAAACAGCTGTTGAAAATGTGGAATCTGAAATCAAGAGGCTTGAGTTTGAGCCTTGTCTCAACCATTTGCTGACTTTGTGACCTTGGGCTGGTTTCTTAGTTTGAGATTTCCCCCCAAAATTGGATGACAGAAATGGCTATAAACCTAGAGTTATTGTGAGGTTCCATTGAGATTTGTGGCTCAGACGGTAAAGCATCTGCCTACAGTGCGGGAGACCTGGGTTCAATCCCTGGGTCGGGAAGATCTGGAGAAGGCAATGGCAACCCACTCCAGTATTCTTGCCTGGAAAATCCCATGGATGGAGAAGCCTGGTAGGCTACAAGTCCATGGGGTCGCAAAGAGTCGGACACAACTGAGCGACTTCACTTTCACTTTTCACTTTCAGTGAGATTTGTGAAATTGCCTTAGAGGAAGCTATCAAGTGTATGATACAGATGAAGGGGTTTTGTTTGTTTGAAAGAATATTAAATTTTACTGATTTCCGCCCCCCCACCCCCTTAATAGGGAGTTAGATTCTGGTTTGGCTGAATCTGTGTCTACATTGATTTGGGCTGCTCCTCGACTCCAGTCAGAAGTGGCAGAGCTGAAAATTGTGAGTACAACCAGTTTCAGTGATACACGTGTAGTTTTTCCTGTTGTTAGAAAAGTTGGTTTATATATGTCTACGTCTGCTTACTTGATCAGGTTATTTTGTACCCTTCTCATGCTACCTTTGAAAAAGGCTTTGTGAAATGGTTCATAGAATGGAACTGTTCATATAGTAGAACAGTGTTTTCTAAACTTGAATAGTTTTTCTAAGGGGCAAAGTTACATATAACCCATGTTTTGTCTTAAATTACTTTTATTATAATGTCATTTAAGTATGTTTTTAAACTGTAAATCAGTAAAGTTACAGTAATATTAAGGGAACAGATGTTTTGTTTCATTCATTTGTTCCAGAAGTATTTATTGAGTCAGTGTTTGTGCACTGTGTGGCTACTGAGAGTGCAGTGGTGAGTAAACTGTGACACCAGTCTTACTCTTGTAGCTTAGAGTCTGGTGGAAGAGACAGACATTAACTGAAAAATTACCTGCAACAACATAGATATGGTACTGACTGCTCAGGTACAAATTCAGTCGAGTTGTATTCTTTCCTATTTTCTATGTCTTTGCCAGTTATTCACTTGGATATTGTCTCAGTCTTATCTCCCACCTATCATAAAATTTCCTTGTCCTCTGTATATTTTTATTTTTGTAAGAGCTCTTTTTATGTCTCTGAGTATCTATTTTTTAAATAGTCTATTTTTTTAGTTATTGTTGTTTCATGGCTTCACTGTCTTCTAACTCTAGGAATATTATACTTCTTTGTAAGCTTTTCTTGTTTCTCTAATGTTTGTTTACTTCTCTTTCATAGATTTAAGCTGTTTTTATAGTAGAGGCTTTTCTGAAGGGTTTGGTGGCTTGGCCCTTGGCTATTTATTAAAGACTGAGGTACTGAAAATGGATTGGAACCTCTTATGTGCTTAGGTGGGTCTTAATGCCAGATGCCAATTTTTTTGTCTCCTTTTTTTTTTCTTCCAGTTTTAATGGGATATAATTGAAAATACAGCACTGTATAAATTTAAGGTGTACAGCATAATGATTTGACTTATATCATGAAATGATTATCACAGTAATTTTGGTAAACATCCATCATCTCATATTGTTTAGACGCTAGTCGTGTCCGACTCTGTGACTCAGAGGACTGCGGCATGCCAGGCTTCCCTGTCCTTCACTATCTCCTGGAGTTTGCTGAAACTCATGTCTATTGAGTTGGTTGAGTATTGAGCCATCCAACCATCTCATCCTCTGTCACCCCCTTCTTCTGTCTTCAGTCATTCCCAGCATCGGGGTCTTTTCCAGTGAGTTGGTTCTTTGCATCAGGTGGCCAAAGTACTGGAGCTTAAGCTTCAGCATCAGTCTGTCCAATGAATACTCAGGACTGATTTCCTTTACGATTGACTGGTTTGATCTCCTTACTGTCCTAGGGAATCTCAAGAGTCTTCTCCAATACCACAGTCCAGAAGCATCAATTCTTTGGTGCTCAGCCGCCTTTATGGTCCAGCTGTCACATCTGTACACGACTACTGGAAAAACCATAGCTTTGACTGTATAGACCTTTGTCAGCAAAGTGGTATCTCTGCTTTTTAATACGCTGTCTAGGTTTGTCATAGCTTTTCTTCCAAGGATCAAGCATCTCATCCATACGGGCATTTCGCATGATACACTCTGCTTATCAGTTAAATAAGCAGGGTGACAGTATACACACTTGACGTACTCCTTTCCCAATTTTGAACATTGTTCCGTGTCTGGTTCTAATGGTTGCTTATTGACTTGCATATGGGTTTCTCAGGAGGCAGGTAAGGTGGTTTGATACTCCCATCTCTTTACGAATTTTCTAGTTTGTTGTGATCCACACAGTCAAAAGCTTGGATGTAGTCAATGAAGCAGAAGTAGATGTGTTTCTGGAATTTTCTTGCTTTTTCTATGATCCAGCAGGTGTTGGCAGTTTGATTTCTGGTTCCTCTGCCTTTTCTAAATTCAGCTTATATATCTGGAAGTTCTCAGTTCATGTACTTTTGAAGCCTAGATACAAAATTAAAGAAATATAAAAAAAGTTTTTTGAAGTGAACTCTTTACACAACAATTTCATGTATAACATATAGCAGTGTTAATTATATTTATCATGTTGTACATTGCATCTCTAGTCCTTATTTATAATTTTAAAATTAATTTTTATTGGAGTATAGTTTGTTTCTACTATACAGCAAAATGAGTCCACCATGTGTCTACATATACCCTGCCCCCTGCTCCCCCTTTGGACTTCCTTCCTACTCAGGTCACCACAGTGCATTAAGTAGAGTTCCCTGTGCTGTACAGTATGTTCTCAGTCGTTACCTGTTTTGTATAGAGTATCAATCCCAGTCTCCCAGTTCCTCCCATGCCCTGCCCTTTCCTCCTTGGTAGCCATATACTTGTTCTCTACCTCTGTGTCTCTGTTTCTGCTTTGCAAGTAAGATCATCTGTACCATTTTTCTAGATTCTACATATGTGCTTAATATATGATATTTGTTTTTCTCTTTCTGACTTTCTTCATTCTTTATGACACTCTAGGTTCATCCATGTCTCTACAAATGACTCAACTTTGTTTCTTTTTATGGCTGAGTAATATTCCATTGTATCCGTATACCAAATCTTTATCCATTCCAAAATTCATGGAAATTTAGGTTGCTTCCATGTCCTAGCTATTTTAAATATACTGCTGTGAACATTGGGTACGTGTATCTTTTTGAATTATGGTTTCCTCTGGGTTTATGCCCAGTAGTGGGATTTCTGGGTCAAAGGGTAGTTAGTTCTGTTTTAGTTTTTTAAGGACTCCCCATACTGTTTTCCATAGTAGTTGTATGTATTTACACTGCCATCAGCAGGGTAGGAGGGTTCCCTTTTCTCCACACCTTCTCCAACATTTATTGTTTGTGGATTTGTTTTGTTTTTTTTTTTTTGGATGATGGCTATTCTGACCATGGTAAGGTGATACCTTATTGTAGTTTTCATTTGCATTTCTCTAATAATTAGTGATATTGAGCATCTTTTCATGTGTTTGTTGGCCTTCTTACTTACAACTGGAAGTTTGTAGTACCTTTTGACTGCCTTCATCAATTCTCTAACCACAAATCTGATCTCTTTCTTTATGAGTTTGTTGCATGTTTGTGTGTTTCTTTTTTAAGTGTAATTGACCTACAGCGCTATGTTGTTCCTGTTACACAATTTAGTGATTTTTCTATACATTTCAAAACGATCATGATAATTCCAATTACAATATGTCACCATACAAACAGAGTAGTTATTGACTATATTCCCCAAGCTGTACATTTCCTGCTCATGACTCATTTGTTATGCAAATGGAACTTTGTATCTCAAATCCCTCTATTTCCTCTTCTTGCTCCCCTCTTGTAACCACCTTATCTATAACTGTTTCTATTTTGTTTTGTTTATAACTGTTTCATTTGTTTTGTTTTTTAGAATTCCACATATAAGTAAGATCACGTTATACTGTGTTTCTCTGACTGATTTCACTTAGCATAATAAATACCCTACAGGTCCATCCATGTTGTCGCAAATTGCAAGATTTCTTTTTTTTTTAAATGGGTGAGTAATATTCCATTGCATATATGTATGCATCTTTATTCATCTATTGATGGTCACTTGGGTTGATTTCATATCTTGGCTGGTGTAAATAATGCTGCAGTGAGAATAGGTGTGCATATGTCTTTTCTAATTAGTGTTTTCATTTACTTTGGATAAATACCCAGGAGTGGAATTACTGGATCAGATACTAGTTCTGTTTTTAATCTTTTGAGGAATCCCCATAGTGATCTCCATAGTGGCTATACCAATTTACATTCCCACCAACAGTATATGAGTGTTCTTTTTTCTCCATATCACCACCAACACTTAATTGGTGTTTTTTTTTAATGATAGCCCTTCTGACAGGTGTGAGGGATATCTCATTGTGGTTTTGATTTGTATTTCCTTGATTAATGATTTTGAGCATCTTTTCATGTGCCTGTTGGCCATCTGTAGGAAAAATGTCTACCTGCCAGTTTTCTAATTGGATTGTTTTTTGGTGCTGAGTTGTAGGAGTTCTTTGTATATTTTGGATAATGACCCCTTATCAAATACATTGTTTGTGAATACCTTCTCCCACCAGTAGATGTAGCCTTTTTATTTTGTTGATAGTTTCTTTCACTGTACAAAACCTTTTTAGTAGGATATAGTATCATTTGTATATTGTTGCTTTTGTTTCTTGTGCCTGAGACATACCCAAAAGAATATTTCTAAGACCAGTGTCAGAAGAGTGTACTGCCGTATTTTTTCCTAGAAGTTTTATGGTTTCACATCTTACATTTAAGTCTTTAATCCATTTTGAATTCATTTGTGTATGGGTTGAGAGAGCAGTGCAGTTTTCCCAATATCATTTATTGAAAAGGTTGTCTTTTTCCTGTTCTTGCCTCCTTTGTTGTAAATGAATTGCCCATGTAACTATGGGTTCATTCTTGAACTCTCCATTCTGTTCCATTGATCTGTTTGTTTTCTTTGTGTGTGTGCGCGTGCCAGTACATAATGTTTTGATGACTGTGCTTTTTAGCATAGCTTGAAATCAGGGAGCATGATATTTCCAGCACCAATTCATTGTTGGATAACTTAAACCATTTCTCGAGGGCCTCCATACTGTCAGGAACTAGTTTCCTTTCCTTGGGTTGGTCGTTTTCCTCAGAGAGAAATTTTCCTATCTTCTACATGGAAGGTATAAGCTAGCTGCATTTTTGAGAGCATGGGGGAGAAGGAAGCCCAAGGTAACATTCTCTTGGAGAAGACTTTCATTTAATTCTCCCGTTCCAGTAGATATTTCTGGTCTCTGCTGTGTGCAGTTCAGTGGATGGATGAATATACAAATAACTAAATGAATTAATATGTACCTTTTAAGGCTTTGCAGGTCCAGTCTTTTGGAAATCCTGAGTAGAAGCGTGTTTTGCTGTTGATAGGAGGAAGCTTGAAGCCCCCTGTGGGAGTGGTTTCCATTTTTATTTGCTGTTCTTTTTCTCTGTAGGTTGCTGATCAACTCTGTGCCAAGTATAGCAAGGAATATGGCAAGTTATGTCGGACCAACCAGATTGGAACTGTGAATGATAGGGTAATGAATGTACTTGTTAAACATGGACCAGTGGGGGGGGGGGCAGGTTATTTTACTGCCTGCAGTGTTTCTAGTGGGTATCATTGTAATGTAGCATTCATTTAAGATTGCACATTTCATAGATAGAAGGCTGTCTGGCAGTGCAGTCAGTCAACTCCTTAACCCTGCCTGACACCTCTGATTGTGAAGCTCTGTCATCCTGCATCATTCCTGTTTCTGTCCCTTGTGCCACTTGTGATATATGGAGGTAGAAGTGAGGTGGGGAGAAGGATGGGTGAATTCAGATGTGGAATGCCACAGTGTCAGTCTTTGGGCGTAAGTAACCAGAGAATGTGAGACATAGATGCATGTTGTGCTCTGTGACTGGAGAAAAAAATAACTGGTTGGAACTCTTCTTTTCTCTCCATTGACTTGTAAAATGAGAGAAACAAAGTTTTAAAGTGATACAGGATAGGCTTAGGCTGGTTTATATAGATGCATCTTAACCCTGGATCTTTTACTTACAGTTAATGCACAAACTGAGTGTGGAGGCCCCACCCAAAATCCTAGTGGAGAGATACCTGATTGAAATTGCCAAGAACTACAATGTGCCCTATGAGCCCGACTCTGTGGTCATGGTGAGTTTAGAGTCTTTAGAATACAACAGAAAATGAGTCTTTCTAGATCACTGTCTTTGAAAAAGAACCGTATTCTTTGCAGTCAAGTTTGTGTGTGGGAGTTGAAGCCTTTATCCAGTTAGTGCTTTGGGGGTAGCAGTAAATAAGCCTGCATCTCTCTCACAGTATGTTTAAGGATCAGAAGAGATGAATGACCAAAAGCACTTTGAAAAGGTACAAACTTTGATTCAAATATAAAATGGCATTATTGCTGCTTTTCAGTGAAGTTCAAGGAACTGGGTAGCAAGAAAAGCCCCAGGGCCCAGAACAGATCTTGAAACATTTTTTGGGTGCCTGCCCTATGCCCCAGAAAGCTGAGAATACAGGAAAGATATAAACAAGGCCACTGTCCTAACGAGGCTTAGAGTGAGAGGCAAATATGGAAACAGTAATTCAGAGGTTGAGGTTGATGGGGGATAGTAGATATTTTGGTGTGCTGCTCAGACAACCCTCCCCCGACCCCCCGCCCCAGTTACAGACACACTTCAGGACAGAAGCATTTATTCCCCCATCTCTTTGATGACTGGTGGCTCACACAGCTGAGTGTCCCTCCAGCAGTGGCCCTCTTAGGAGAGAGCTTCCTCACCCAGGGTTTTTGCTGGGGGCAGCTTGTATTTATTTGGGGGGATTAAAGACTGCCCCTTTGCCCTAGTTGGGAACATGTGCTGTAGGCCTGTCCAAGCCCCAGAACTCTCTGGGGGAATTAGCCAAACCCTCTGTTGTGAAGGCATGGCAGCCCAACTTCTTACTTTGCTTAGGCCTGCTTCCTTCATATCCCCACAAGTCTATCCAAGAGACCTCTCCAATAAACTTTCGTCATGCTGATCTCCATCTCAGAGCTCCCTGGGGAAACTAGCCTGTGACAGGGCCTGATGATACGGGTTTCTCTCTTTTTCTTAGGCAGAAGCTCCTCCTGGAGTAGAGACAGATCTTATTGATGTTGGATTCACAGATGATGTGAAGAAAGGGGGCCCTGGAAGAGGAGGTGGAGGCGGCTTCACAGCACCAGTTGGTGGACCTGACGGAACAGTGCCAATGCCTATGCCCATGCCCATGCCATCTCCAAACACTCCTTTCTCATACCCGCTTCCAAAGGGACCTGTAAGTATACATACAAATAAGTGTGGATGTGAACTCTAGAAAATGTAGTATAGATGACAGGCTGGTTCTGTGAATGCACTCAGGAATTGTAGGTTATCTAGAGGATTTAGCCTTAACATTTGGTATAATTTATTGATTATACTGTGGAGAAAAATAGCATTGGGATTTGGAGAAAGTCTTTTGGTTAACCTACAGGTAATGAGGCAGGAAAATCTAGAGAGATGGTGCTAGAAAAAACTTCATGTAGGTTTTCTGGGACTTGTAGGAATACTAGTAGCTTTTTCCAAAATTGAATAATCATCACTTATTACCAAGTAGAAAAATATCCATTGTAAACACGAAGATGAAAGTCACTGCTAGTAAGAAAGTCTGGGGACTTTCCTGGTAGTCCAGTGGTTAAGACTCAGCTTCCAATGCAGGGGCGTGGGTTCATTTCCTGGTTGGGGAACTACGATCCCACATGTAGTGTGGCACCCCCCACCTCCCCAGAGAAAGTGATAGTAATCACCGTTTGTGGATGTAAAAGCAATTAGTAATTTGATGAATAGTCTTTGGCTACAGATCTTTAAAAATCTAGAATCTTCCTGATCACATGTTGTCATGTCCTTTTAGGCACTTTTTTCTTTTGGGGCTCTTGAATACACATATTAAATACCTATCTTAAATATATATTATTCAATATGAATATATTCACATTGAGAAAATATTTGTATACACACATATTTCTCTCTTCCCATATACACACTTCAAAAATTGCAGATGGGGCAATGTCTCTTATGTTGCCTTTCTCTTCTTGCAGTCGGATTTCAATGGATTGCCAGTGGGAACTTATCAAGCCTTTCCCAATATTCATCCACCTCAGATTCCAGCAACTCCCCCATCGTATGAATCTGTAAGTGCCTGAGGCTTTTATAAGCAGCAGGAGAGTGAATCCCAGGAAGAGAGAGCAAAATAATGGCCACAGGGAAGGCAAAGTTTTGATCAACTCCGAGTACTGGCATTGCTCTATGCTTTGGGTTTTTGTGTTGCTTTAATATTACCCTGGAAATGGGGCGTGGTGGCAGCGGCGGCATCATTGGTGGCAATGCTTTGTCTACAGTTAAAAGCCCAGGAATCAGAAAGGAGCTGCAGATCCTAGAAAGTTCTAGTGGGACACTTAACTAGGCTGAGAATCATTTTGACCTGGTATAGTCTTGGTGGTAGAATATAATTAAAATACCAGTTTTATAAATTCTCAACACCTTATAAAGGAATAACAGTCAGATATTTGTTTAGTAAATTTTGGCCCATAGCATTTATTTTTTAGTCTTATACTTAAAACTTGCTGGTATCAGTAATATGCTAATGATGCCTTGAACTGTAAATGGTTGTCACAGCTTTGGTTCAGAATTAGATGACTTTCCTGCCAGCCTTCTTTCCTTATCTAGGGTGATTCCCCTGTTCCTGAGCTTGCTTAGTGTCCTTTGCTTTGGTTTTTACATTAGGCCTGACTTTTTATGTTTTGGCTTTGCACGCATTGCCGCTTTGCCCACAACTGTTCCTAGGAAGGAAGTAGATGATCTTTGTTAGTATTTGAGGACTTGGTTCTTGGAGGTGAATGTGGTGGTTTAGAATGTGTTCTCACTGTCTGGAAGGTGAAGGTATCAAATTAGAGAGAGATGTTAATAATGTGGTAAAAATTTTCTTTTCCTCTGCTTGGCAGTTAAAGAGTTCAACATAGTATCTGTCTGGTGGGAAGGAGATCAGGACAGGAGTACAGGGCGGCGGAGGGGCAGTTTCTTGGAGCAGGTGCTGAGCAGCTTAGCTTTTGCCACACACATGGGCCTATACTATTACCTTCACCAGTTAGGCCATTGCTTTCTCTTCTGGTAATGATCTCTTGTGTTTCAGGTTGATGACATTAATGCTGATAAGAATGTGTCTTCTACACAGATTGTTGGTGAGTGAGAGTCAGAAATCCTTTGAAGGTTTTCTCAGTACTGAACCCTTTGTTGTTTTCTCATCACTGTTCCTTCCTCAGATTGTTTTTATGCTTGTGGGATTCTACCCACATGCCCCATTCTCCCCAAATGCAGTATGGTGGAAACAGAACTAAGGATTTCCCACTTCCAAAAAGAAAGGGTCTATCCTGGCTTCAAGGAATCTCCCAAATTACCTTTTTCTGTTAATGGTTTTTTTTGTTTTTTTTTTTTACCCTCAAGTTCTTTATGTTCCTGCTGCTTCAACTGCCACTGTGCTTGGAAGTACCAAAAAAGTTTTTAAATTTGGGCATTAAAGAGGGGGAAAGAGGCATATATCATGAGTGAATGGCTTAGTGATTTTTCACGAAGCATGTTCATGTAGCCATTCACTGAAAAACTACTACCAGCACTCCAGAAACCCAGGGTTGGGGGGTACTTTAAAAAACATTTTAAAACATTTTATATTGGGGTACAGCCAATTAACAATGTTGTGACAGTTTCAGGTGAACAGTGAAGGGACCCAGCCATACATACACATGTATCCATTCTCCCCAGAGAAACATACTTTTAAAAATTGGAGACGGTTTTATTGAGGTATAATTTATGTACAAAAAAATATAGAAATGTATATTACCATTTTTTAGGTGTATCTACACATACATCATGTAACCACCACCTTAGTAAAGAGAACATTTTCCCCAGAAAATTACCTTGTGTTCCTTCCCAGTTAGCTCCACTCCAGAGGCAAGCACTGTTCTTATTTTCTACAACTACAGTTTAGGTTGCCTGTTCTAGAACTTCGATAGAAACTGAAACATATAGTAGGTAGAGAGCATGATGATTTTAACTTGTATAAAATGGAAGATTAGAAACAAGATCACATTCTATTACATCAGACAGTATGGATGTTAACATTCCTTATAAATTCTTTTGCTCTTCCCAATAGAATTCTAGTACCACTCCTTGGACTTCTTTATTACGGGAGCAGACCTTTGTGAAAGGGGACAGTCCGTTTAAATGAATCCTGTGTACCCAAGCCCTATGCACCACACTTTGACTTCCCCTTCAACTTTTTCTCACTGTAGGAAAATAAAACATATATTCAACTATAATTAGAAAATGTAGCTGTTAATTATCCTGAAAATTTTTATTGACTTTTAGAATTATTTTTTTTTAAAGCAGTGTTTCCTTCAGTAGTTTATTTTCTCTGCCAAAGGCCATGATGGGCTTTGAGCTGTTTTTTTCTGGTGTGTGTAACACTGTGCTCCTTACTCTGATTAGGTCCTGGGCCCAAGCCAGAGGCTCCTGCAAAGCCCGCTTCGAGGCCCACAGAGACCTACGACAACTTTGTGCTGCCAGAGTTGCCGTCTGTGCCAGATACACTCCCAACTGCATCTGCTGGTGCCAACACCTCAGCATCAGAGGACATTGACTTTGATGATCTTTCCCGGAGATTTGAGGAGCTGAAAAAGAAAACATAGGCCTCCTAAACCAGGCAAGGTCCAATTTCTGGGAGTTGAGACTGAGCAGTTTTTCCTTGTAACAAAGAATCTCCATGAAATTGTTTTACCTGTTAACCATCACTGAGCACACTCTCCCTCTGGGCTCTCTTCCTGCTCTACCAGACTCTGCTGCTTTCCAGTTCTCCATTGCTCCCAAGAGACTACCAACTGGGGATGATGAGGTTGGAGCAGCTGGCTCCTGGCAGCCTTTCTTGTCTGTTTCCTGTCAGTGTGATCCCAGGTTCTCTCCTTCCTGTCCCACCATCCCTCCACAGGGCAATGAGAAGGTGAAATCATTTTGGGAAGAGAGGGCTGGATGGTGGTGGAGAGGACTTCCTGAAGCGTCTCAGCTCTGTGCTGAGGTTCCAGACTTAGAAACAAACCCTCTGTACAGAGGGATTTGTGGTGAGTGAGATTCAAGGCCAAGGTGTGTATTTTCACACTCTTAACATGAATGGGGGAGAGAAAAAAATGGCTCAGGAAGCCATTATAACAGTTCTCAGAAGCTGGGTCTTCTCATTGACATGCACACTACTCCTTGCTGCAGGGCACTGTTCCATCTGGATCCAGTTGCAAAGTTTATTTGAAAAGTTGACAGCCTCTCATAGTTCTACTGGATTCTCAGGGAGCCCTCTGTGGCCTTTGCTTTATTGAGTGCTATGTTTCCCTTTTAATAGAGGGCAGCACTGTGTAAATTCCTGTTTTTTCCCCATGGCATTCTGTTGAATTGCATTTGGCTATGTACTGAGCAGAAGTCACCAGTCAAGGCTAAGGTGGGCTTCCAGTAGCCTTAATTAGAAATATTCAAGTCTCTTGAGTAGTGAGCTGGAAAGCCTACAGATTATTGAAGAGGGATTCCTGTTTTCATTTGAAGACTTTATGATCAAGAAAACCTCTACAAACTGATCTCAAATAAATTTTTGGTGCCCATGTGGCTCTAATTGTTTTGCTGCTTCCCTCAACGGATGAGACTAACCCTTTTGCCCCCTAGCTAAGGCCATCTTTCCCTACAAGGGTGGCGTTGGGATCAGAAGACATGACTTCGGCTTCTGTGTGGTAAATCTGTAAATACTCTATTCAAGCAACTTTAATGTTTTTGGTTGATTTGTATCATGGCTCAGTAGCTGCTAATAAAGTTAAAAATATTGTGCCCTGGTTTCTCCACTGTTTGGGTAAAATGATGAGGGGCAAATTCAGCTTTTAGTGGAGAATATTTTAAGCAAGTACAATACTGGGTACAAGCCACACCTTACTTTTGCTGTCTGGGTAATGTGGACGGACAGTTGGGGAGCAAGAAGCCCATTTTTATCTCTGTATGTAAGTCCAGATAGTAATCTGGGAGCTGGCATGGTTACTTCTCTGTGACAGTGCTCCCCCTGAGCCAGATCTCATGCTTGTGTCTTTGATTGTAAAGTTGCAGTGAGCTTACTTGTGACTCATGTTTTTGGAACATGAATGGTAAGTGCTCTCTAACGTGCTGCTGGGCAGCAGAGTTGGTTCATCCTGCATCACCCTTGTAGTGTTAACCCTTTTCTGGTAGTGCCAAGGGGATTTTTGATTCTTCACTAGGAAAACTAACATTTCCCAAAGTATACCATGCAAAGATCAGTGTTAATATACTCAGAAGTAATGAGCCAAGTGAGGAGACAACAGGATTAAGGTGACTCACCTTTTAAACCTTCATTTGTCCATGGCTGTTGCTGTTAGGGCTGTTTGCTTACATGTGCTCTGATGCTGCTGGATCCCTAACAAGCTTGACAGCTTCAGCAGCAGCATATCCATCAGTGTGGCCTCTCTCTCAGGCTGCTGGAAGACAAAAGGAAAAAAGTGAGGAAACTGAAGTTGTTGCTAATGTTGGAAGGAAAAGGTACCAAAGATGTAATTTTTTAAAGTAGACATAAAGATATTGTTTCCTTTAATGGTTTACTGTCAGGCTTTGTCAGCAGTGTTTCTGCTACTTAACATTTGAGAACCAGATATTTTAGGACACTGGATATAAAACAATGTCAGTCAGCTCAGTTGTGTCCAACTCTTTGTGACCTCCTGGACTGCAGCACACCAGGCTTCCCTGTCCATCACCAGCTCCCGGAGTTTACTCAAACTCATGTCCATCAAGTCGATGATGCCATCCAGCCATCTCATCCTGCCTTCAGTCTTGCCCAGCATCATGGTCTTTTCCAGTGAGTCCATTCTTGGCATCAGGTGGCCAAAGTATTGGAGCTTCAGCATCAGTCCTTCCAATGAATATTCAGGACTGATTTCCTTTAGGATTGACTGGTTTGATCTCTTTGCTGTCCAAGGGACTGTTACGAGTCTTCTCCAACACCACAGTTGAAAAGCATCAATTCAGTGCTCAGCTTTCTTTATGGTCCAATTCTCACATCCATACATGACTACTGGAATAATGTACTTTAGTAAATTGGGTTTCCTAGGAAAATGGTTGACAGCATAATGGAGACTAATAAAGGGAATATGCTGATACTGTGTGTTATGTCAATCTGTAATCTTAAGAACAGCTAAATCTGAGCTTTCCCAGGGATAAAAAATCATGATACAGCTTATAGTTTAGTTACTGAGTTACTTACCTTAAGGGATTTCCTCTCTTTACCAAAGGCCATTAAAATGGCAGAAACAAAAAGATTAATGATCACAAGTACCATCAAAACAACATTGGTGAAGATAAGAAAGGAGCCCAGGACTGGGTTTACAGCAGTTACCTGGAAAGACAATGGAACACTTTGGGTTTAAACACTGATAGTTTAATTTCTGCTTTAAAAATGTAAAACATGTGCTAATACTTGGGATATATTCACATAAGAAAACATTTCTGCCTGGCAGAAACTAGAAAAGCAAAAATACTAAAAAGGAAAATATTTTTGAGTGGACAGAAGAGCAAGAGTGACTGACTAAGAATATATAAATAATTATGCCTTCAGGGCTTCCACAGGAAAACAACAGGTAAGTTGTAGTGGAATTATGACTCATGGGAGTTTCCTGGTGGTCCACTGCTTATGACTCTGCACTTTCACAGGCTTCCCTGGTGGCTCAGATGGTAAAGCGTCTGCCTGCAATGCGGGAGACCTGGGTTGGGAAGATCCCCTAGAGAAGGAAGTGGCAACCCACTCCAGTACTCTTGCCTGGAAAACTCCATGGACTGAGGAGACTGGTAGGCTACAGTCCATGGGGTCTCAAAGAGCTATGACTGAGCGACCTCACTTTCTCTCTTTCTGCACATTCACTGCTGAGTACATAGGTTCAGTCCCTGGTTGGGGAACTAAGATTCCACAAGCTGTGCCGCTAAATAAATAGACTCAAAGCCCTAGTGAGTTTTGGCACATCTGGAAAATACATCTAAATACAGAAGTTTCAAGGAATAGCAAGGGCATATTGAAAGAATACATAGAAACCAGAAATGATAATGGAAATGGTCTCTGCCATTCCATGCAATTTCTATTCTTAACATAGAATATCAGTGATAAGCTTTGATCAAAATCTTGCCAGTTTCACTAATTTGAATTACAGGGTTTTCTCCCTGATCAAATCTATATATGCTAATTTGGGGGACCCAAAACTTCATCTGGGTTTCCTACTTTACTTTTTATGTCAAATAGAAAGGGATTTGTGTAGGTAGTTCCTGGGGGAAGATGACAGCCCTATGTGACAGTATTTGTAAACATAAATACTGTAGTTCTTTGTGGAACTGTACCTCCCTAATTATTATTTCAAGTGATTTCCAACTGTACACTTCAAAAGGCTATTGAGAAGGCAGCAGCAATCATGTTATTCTGTCTAGGTATGAGAGCCCTGTGTCTTTGGCAGTAAGATTGAGGATACAAGAAATGAGGAATGTGGGACTATGTGCTTAGAAAAGGAGTTAACAGCCACTCAAAAGCTGTATCTATAGGTAGTACCATAAAATAATGGCAAAGGTTCTAAATTTCTCCCTTTTCCAGCATGCAATGCTATAGTAGGGGTTGCTTTTATAAGCAATTCTCATTTACTGTATTAAACCAAACAAAATTCTGCAAGGGAACCAGGAAGAGGGTTTTTTTTTTACCTCCTTGTGATGAGAGATTCCCATCAGGAGACTGACAACAGTTACTGCTGAACTGAGAAAAGTTCGGTAGTCAGAGATGCTCCAGCCAAACAGCAGGTTAAACTGAAAAAGAGAATAGTCAGGTGGGGCTGGCAAGCAGAGGGGGCTGCAGTTTGGGTCCTGAGATGGTTATAATGATGAGGTCAATGTAGACCCAATGGAATGGAAATTAAAGAATATCCTTACGGCCATTCAAATTACTATGCCTAAAAACTATACAGGATTCCTTTGTGATCAGTGTTTTCATACAAATTTACCTGACTTTCATATCTTGCGAGTTAAATGTTATCCCCATTTTAAAGATGAGAGAAATGTCTTGAGCTTATAATACTGCTGGTGAAGTATGGACATAACACAACTAAAACCAGCTCTTTTCCTCTACTATCTTCTCCAAAACACTGCCAGCTTGAACTGTGACTTTCCATTTAGTCACCTTTACTAAGGAAAGCAACGTGACTCCAAGACCACAGCACTCAGGACAAGACATACTAGGATAGGTGCTTACCGCAATGGCATAGCCTGTCAGCAGGATCAAGATGACCAGCAAGAAGCCCACTACCTCGTCCCAGGCTTTGCTGAGTGTTCTGCCAATGACCCGCAGCCTGGGGTTTTGATACAGCAGGCTCCATAGCTGAACTGTTGCCAAAAGAACTAGGAAACCCATGAGGTGAATGACAGCTGAGTTGACTTTAACTGCCTCACAGAAGTTGATGAACCTGTACCATGGAAAGCAGACACTCAGTACGAAGTCTGTGCCATCAGTTCCTGTGATGTCAGTGTCTCCAGGGCTCCTACTGCTCAAGTGCGGCAGCTCTGTAAGACCCATTCTTGTTGACAGAAGAACGCTGCTTTCCAGTGTGGCTTCCTCCCGTGGATGTGAGCACGCTGGCACAAGGCCACATACTCGACTGGGAGCTGTGCTGAAGAAACCTTGGAGTGCAGCCTCCAGCTCGTTACTCCCGATTCACCCTATCGATCCTGAATCTGGAGCTATCAAGAATCGGAGCCAGCCTCCACCACTGCTCTAGTTTCAGATCTCTCCTTTCAGAAGAGATGAGTTAACTTAATGAGATGTCTAATAACGCCAGTCTGTTTTCTGTAACAACAGTCTTAATCCTATGTTGTTCTCTGACAGTGGTAATTGATCCTCTAATAGATTCAACAGTGCTGAGTAGAGAGATGATTGAACTATGGAAGTAAGGGGTGTTGCTCACCAATTGTTGCTGGTTTCTGTAGTTATGTGAGAGATGCATTGATACTTTTATGTTGCAGCAACTAGGTTACTTGGAAAGACCTCCACAGACATGAGTGAACTGG